CTCTCGTATTTAGCACGGATCCACTGCTCCCTGAGGATACTGTGGATCACAGTGAAAATATAAAAGTATTCACAGTTCAATAGCAAAGTGCTCTTATAAAAACCTGGATCATTGAAGCTTGATTTAGCAGCAGAAATTCATCTATATTTCACTTCTACAGCCAGAAGCTCTCACTTCTCTACTTTGTGGCTCTGCCTCGTCAGCAGTCTGGTATTACACATAAATGATTCTGCCATGGCGACAGAGGTTGGTAAATATCATCATCCTGGAAAAGACCTACTTGCAGTCTTCCCGCTGGGGTCGATAGTAGTACGGTGGAACAGCTTTCTCATATTGAGCCTGGGCCCTGGCATTGCCATTGGATTTCATGAACTTCCATCCCCCAGAATAAAAACACACACACACATTAGGATTACACACAGACACAGTCTGATACAGCAAAAATAGAGGTGGGTGACTGATAAAACAGTGATCACCTCTACTAGTTTGTCCTCCCAGAAGTCCAGCCTGATAGATTTGACATGGCTGGACAGGCTGCGGTGGATCCCGGAGCAGTTCAGACACACAAAAATTCCCAACTTGTAGGAGGCCCAGTCCGGTTCTGGGAGAGGTGAGAAGAAGAGACATGAGTCAGATAAATACTTCTTCCTGCCACTCTATTAGGAGGTTAAGAACATATACAAAATCTAATCAATCATTTAAGATTTCCACTGAAATCTGTAAATGTTTAGTTCACAATTAGGCTTCATCTATGCCCGGGAAAGTGACTTTTTGAGTTTTTAAGTATTAAGTTTTCAAGTTCAAAAACAGGAAGCCCTTTTTAGCCCCTCAATGTCAGCCCATCACCAAGCTTTAGTCGTGACGGACATGCTTCAGGGTGCACGCGTTCATGCAGGGCAACAGTCTTTTCAAGCCTCAGAAATAACATTAACAAACCGGTTAAACTGCATGAAAATAAATCAATAAATCTGAATATCTCGAGGCCTCTGAGTAGTACCCGCATATCAAATTCGGATCCGCGCCTCACTTTATTTCAATAACAAACGTACCAACGTTTATATATTTGCTTACCGGGCTCGCCGCAGTCAGCGCACCGGCTGTTGTCTGACTGTTTCACCAGTTCCAGTAAAATCTTTTTGTTCCGCTCACGGTTTGCCATTTCTCTGCACAGTCAGGCTCATACACTGATGGATCCCGCGGTTGAACTTGAGCGTGGCGGTCACATGGTTCGACAAACAACAAAAGGCGACTAAGAAAAAAATTAAAAAGAAAGAAAAAGTGGAACTTGCGACAGAAGAGCTTTGGATGTCTCAACGCGAAGCGGACCGCCTCCCCCTGGAGCGCGTCCAGCTGCGAGCTTGTCACAGAGGGTGCTCCCTTTGATTTTTTTTTTTAAATAAACAATGCACCTTTGTGCACAGAGCACACCTGCTACTCTCTGTGATGAAGGTAAAGAGGAAACTAACCACAAACCGGTCTGCCCGCCGCGCAGATGCGAGCACATCAGCGCGCTGCTAATTTACACGGAAGTCTGTTAAATTTAGCAGATTTATGACACCTTTAGGCTTGTTTGGATGATAAACGTTTATTGCTGTGTAAGGAAATCCCCACTGTGGTGAAGAAAGTGTCCATATTTAAAACATTAAAGAGAGCAAAATGACTGATGATGTCACAGTAAGCTTT